ACCGCGCAGTCCTTCACCACCACCACCAATATATTCTAGGACAACTTATGTGAGTAAAGCGGACCCACTTAGTTTTCTCTTTGTCTCCTTGGTTGAGGTTGTATAAGCTGCATGTTATCCTTGGTTGATAGTATGGACTGCATGTATTTCTCTGAAAAAAAGACATTTTCCTTTTCGTTCAAGAGCCATCCTTTCCTTTTTTATTCCTTTATTTTCTTTTTAATTAGGTTCATGCTATAGGAATTGCTAATGGTTTGATTTTCGTCGCTCCTATATTTTACTTTTCAGAGCCGTGAAACTCAAGCTGATGCACCACCAGAACCGCAGGTAATTTTGTCGCTCTTCTGAAGGAGTCGTTGAATAATATGATTAACCGTTCTTACGGAGTTAGCTGAAGGGATGTGGGTAGATTAATTTTGAACGAGCAAAGTTTGCGAGTTGACGTTCCAAACGAAATCTGAATTCGCTCTTTCCTTTCGATGCCTTTAATTGTTCGGTGTTTCAACTTAACCTGTTTTCTTTTGGATAGTGAGTGGTTCTGCTTAAATTAGTTAGTTAATCAGATCAGAGCAATTTTATTTAATGTCCTTAGTCGCGCATTTGGCATTTCCTTCAGCTATTTTATTGCGAGTTAATTCATTCGGTTTCTTGACCGCCGTAGTCTGTTGCGTAATAGTCTCCCGCACCTGCTTTTAGCTTCAGGCACTACAATCTTATTCAGAATTATGTCCTCGTTACTCATTGAAATACTGCCACTTTACCATTAGTAATAGTTTTGTAAGTGAGCAGCAAGGGGCCTACCCTTTTTGTAGCGTTATCAAAAGTTGTCAGTGTTGGCTCAACTTACCACAAGCATGCTGGGTATGCGCAAAAAAATTGTCCCCTTCGAACTCGAATCTGCACCACACGCTCTCTGGGCCAGTTTGCAATCCGTTACGCGCTCGGGTCGCATCTTACCCTCACAGCTCAATAGTTCTGTGTCATAAAATTAGAGCCCTTCTTTGCCGGTTTTACAAAATATTCCACCACTTTGATGCTAACATTCTGAACTTCATTTATTTGGAGAAATCCGAATGTGCATTTTCTTTTCATAATTCGTCATATGAAATCCCATTACTTGTTTGTTATCTTAGGTGATACAACTTCCACCTCATCAGCCCGTCATTGAAGAACATGCTTTCAAGCAGACAACGACGAAACGTCGCATAGAAAATTCTCAAGAAAGCGATGGTGAAGAGGAATTCGGATATCGTAAGGTATATTTGCCCCAACAGTTAGTCCCAACAATGATTTCTGCGCAGTGCTCGATAACTTTACTTTGTCATGTGCCTCCTTTGGAAGTTAGACGCCAACAACCTTGTGGTGTGCGGGGGGGGGGGGAAGGGAAAGTGGAAAGGCATTTAAGGACTTCTTGTGTAATGAGATTGCTGTCATCCGAATAGAACTGCCACCCTTCGAATGAATTCACCCATGTCAGGGCTTCTTTCCTCGTTCGGCCTTTTCAAATAGACCCCCATCTCCGGCAGGACACATCCTGCC